GTATAAGCGGAAGCAGTCACAATTGATGTTGATGTTGTTGTTGTTGGTGTTGCTATTGCTATTGCTGCTTCCGCGCTCGCACCGTCTTGATCTTGTTTAAATTTTCAAACATATCATACGACTCTGCCTTTTGACGCACATTAAATTATGGAAATGTCAAACCGAATGTGCTGAAAAATTAGACAAAATGCCTATTGTGGCTAGATACTACATAATTTTTGAAATATTTATCATAAGAGTTTATGTGTCAGCCGCTTAGTCATTGAAGGACGGCTCTCAATAGGCTTTTGTATACATCTATGCGTGTGTGTGTGTGTGTGTTTCTATTTTGAAGCTTGTGTGATTGTCAGTCAAATGGGCGCCCAGGCAGTCAACACAATGTCAAAGCGAACGGGGCGTATGAGTAATGAGCACCAGCCGATGAGCCAGTAAATTAGCTAGAAACACACGTTTAGTATTCACCTTTTATGTATATTTTCATTAATTGGGCTTGTGGGTTAATTGCGATGAGCAACAGCAGTTGCCATTTTTTCTTTTCATTTCGTTGCCTCACAAATACGAGTAGCAGCTGGTGGGCACAGGTTGTGTGAGAACTGGTTGGAAGAGCGCGTCGGTTTTTGAACCTGCCAAGGTTAGCTGTGCAGGAAATGCAGGTAAAAACAAAAACTGCAACAACTACAATACCTACATACATATAGAGGGAAGCAGAAAAAAAAGAAAAACAATAACTTCGAAATTATGCGAAATATCACAACGCCGGAAATTGATTTCAGCAGCGGTGATAAGTAGTGGCGAAGTAGAGGAAGAGCTACCGTGGAATTGCAATAATAATGACTAATCATAATGAGAGACTTCTTAACAGAACTGGGCTATAATAATAGTAAGTCAAATGAGTCATTGGCGGACTACGTTTAACGATTCTAGGAAGCTTTGAATGTCCTCCATAAACTGATTGTTATAGGCATTCGATGATCATCTTTGAAGAATGTTCTGCCAATGAGTGCCAAAAGATAAACAAAAAAAAAGAGTTATAATTTCCAAAACACTAGTTACCCACTTATAAGTATTTTCTTTTCTAGCTTAGTGCTCTCCAACTTAATTATTACTATAAGTATGTAGCACCGAAAACAAAAAATGGTAGACCACATTTAGTGGAAACATAAATATACATACATATAATCAGATCTGTTTGTCCATCTGCCTATCTAATGACTGTATCAATCATTACTACTTCACTGTTTTAGTGTTAGAGTAATAATAACTGGGGATGAATCTTTTTGACAGACATTTTAAACAAATATTAAATCAATATTAATGATAATACATATGCCAGATCACTATATTTTATAGCTTTCATAAATAAAGATAGATATGTAAGCTAAAGATATATGAACCGGATTGAATATTGCAAATGTTGTGGTCAAAACTGATGCTTCTTAGATCATTTGTGAGTCGCCAATGATGACTATGGATGACCAGATGCAGCTGCTCTGCTCTCAAAGATAAGTTTGTAATTATTTGAGTGTAATACAGCCGCATATAAATTGTAAACTAAGGATAGGGCATTGATGGGAATTGCTACAATATTTGTTACCAACATTCAAAAACTCAGAATCTAGGCTCAAACTAGACTGTAAATAAATAGGCATATAGCTTAGGTCAATGAAACTACTATGCAATTCAAGAGGTAACCCTAAGTGAACCGTTCTTGTTTTGTTTTTATTTTTTACAAATACTTTGTTTTAGCCATTAACTTTATTTTGCAGAAGAGCTGACAACTTTAAACACAAACATTTATTCTAGTAATGATTTTATTTTATTTCAGAGGCTATAGCGAGGCTATAACTTTAACGTTTGTGTAGCTTAAAGAATTAAATGACCCTTTTAACCTATGTTAGCCTATTCTTCTTCAGCACTGAAATTAAATTTAAAGTCGGTACAAAAAAAGGCTGATTGGAATCTTATGCTTTTATAAGCACTTTAAAAAAGAGTTTTAAATAGTTTCCCCCTTTTGGGACTTTCAGAAATTGTTGTCCTTTATCTTTAAATCTAATATAATTTTTAGTTAAGCTACAACAATTTTATTTATATTTCTTATCAAGTCTTCTTTACTATTTTGTTAAATATAAATAAATTCAATCACTTTGGTATTAATTTGCAGAACATTATTAATTTAGATAATTATATATAAATTATTTCAAAATAGCTAATTATCTGTTGATATGTAACCATATTTATTAATTTTCTTTTCTATTTCAGCATTCTTTTTTGATACAAAAAGAAGACTGCATTGAAATTGCAACCCCTTTCTTATAAACAAACATTTAGTTCATTTATGGAAATGATGTTTGTATCAGTGCTGCGAGCTCCCAATTCAATCAAATGCGGGACCCTCAAAATATGGTGCATCACAATATTCGAAAAATCGGAAATGATCTATATGCAGTATGCCAATCAGATCGAATGTCGGGACATCCAAATAAAGGAGCACCGCAGAGAACAAAAGTTGTATAAATAATCCTTATAATTAAGCTGTACATCTATTTATATTCCACCAATTTGTATTCTGCCAATATGTTTAGTTATAGAAATTTTAAATAAACTGCACGTTTAATAAAATACTTTTAAGTATATGAATACATAATAAAATTATTGTGCTTGAAAGTAAATTTATGGCTTAACTTAAAGCATAGCTCCATAGGTCGGGGCATTATTAATAATAATAATTGTTAAGTCATTTCAATGTTTATTTCAATGGATTAATGAATTGATCATGATAAAAAAAATTAAAAGGCAATAATCAGTGATCGTTTGCGTTTAACATAAAGTAATAAGCAATGTGTACTCATTATTTGAACGCAGCAAAGAATTTTGATTAGTAATCAATAAAAGAAACACTATATTTCTTGGAATTGTATAATTTGTTTAATCTTTGATCAATGATTGGTTCTTTACACAGCTTAACTGAGCTATGAAATTAATGATTTGGACAAAGAGAGATGCCAATGGACCTGTAAATCCACAATACAGTTAAGTCATGCTAGTAAATCAAGCTCTATATGACCTACATAATGAGAAAGAAACGTGTTCTGCAAAAGCCGCAGGCAATTCAACATAAAAACTTCCCCTGTTTGAAAGGCAGCCAATCACTCCACCTTGGCTATTAGATCCGTGCAAGGCGGTGGCAGCTTCCATTACTCAATTCCTCGCCAGTCGAATGTCAAACGCACAATGGTGGCGCGTAATTAAAACATTAAGACCTCATGGTGCTAAATGCCAAAGATGTTTTGCGGCACCGATGATTTGCACTCCATTAATGAGACTAATTAAAAATGTGCAGAGAGCAAGGCATTTTATTTGAAATCGAAATTGAAAGTCATTATATAGTATAGCAGCAGAGCCCCCGAGCTCTGTAAGACCACCACGTGAGTGGCGCCTGCGAATCCGCTTTATGAATTAGTTTGTTATTAAGTCGTACTAAATGGCAAATAAAACACAACTAACAAAACTTCATGGTCAATTAGCAGACAATACACACACACACACAGATGCACACTAAAAACTAAAACCTATGAAAATGTGACAAAAGTAGTTGTAAGGTTAAGACACACACACACACACACACAAATGGTATTTAATTAACTGAAAAGCGAGCCACAAGTTCATGTTGCAGAATGTCAAGTATGACTATGAATGGGGCAATTAAAAAGGATTTTTGTGCTCCAGGGTTCAATAGCGAGCCCCTAACTTGAACCCAAACAAAATGGGTACCATGGCTGCCGGCTTAGGTGCTAAATAAATTAGAATCAAAGTCTAAGCTGCGAGCCATCAATTTTGGCTTCATAAACAAATATCTTCAAAATTCATTTGACACACAAATCGATGGGTTTTTGTTTTTTTAGGGGGGATTTTTTTTTTTTAAACAAATTACATAATAAACAATCCATTTGCATATTTATGAGCGAAAATAAAAAGCAAGCATAAAAGTCAATTTTTAGAATGTTTCGAAAAAGACGTCGCCGATATTCTCAAGTCTTCACAGATCCGGCTGGCACCGCCAAGCACCATCGTACTAACAAACATCTTAAGCTCTCTAGACATGCTTCTGAGTTTGTATGTGTATGTGTGCTAGTGTTGAGCTGTATGTATGTGTGTGTGTGTGTGGGGGTGTGTGCAAGATTTATAACTGGCTTATGGGCGCATCCTTTACAAGTTCATTCACATGGCAATTAAGTTAACAAGCGCGTGCGTGAGCGTGAGCGTTGCTAGCGCGGAAGCCAAAGAAGAGCATTTCGAAAGGCCTTTCAAGATCAAGGCCCTGTTGGCCAAACACTTCACAAACTGATATATTGATGAAACGCGGCCCAAAGCAATACGACCCCAGCAGATCCAAAAATGCGTAAAAGGCACGCCAAGTGTTTGCATAAATTTTGAAAAAAAAAATGTAAAAAATAGACAACAAATTGTAGTGTTTTGTTGTTTTTAGATTGCTTAGGCCACTCAACGCGTGAGCGAGCGACAGCTATAAAAAGTAAAATTATCGAAATACAGTTTCAACTGCCAACAATAACAACAGCAATAGCGACAACCAAAGCTTTAAATAAAAAGTAAATAAATAAGAACAAAAAAAAAATGAAGACAAACGTTCAAAAGCAGAACTACAATATAAATATTTATAGAAAAAATCTTAAGATACTGGGGATGTTCTGAGCGCTTCTCAGAAGACGTCAATGAAGCTTGCCAATGCTGATTATCATCATGATGATCAACACACACACACACACACACACACACATACAGACGTACACTTACCGCTGCACATTGGCTTCTGCTCTCTGGGTAGCTTTTCAAAAATGTGCGCTCGCACACTCGCCTCTGTAAGCATGCATATATATATATATATATGTGTGTGTGTGTGTGCGTGTATTGGTGTTGGGCAGTGGGACTGGCTGCGACTATAAAGCACATTGCTGCTGCCAATTGACTTTTGTTTTCGTTTGCGTGTGGTAGCGTCTGGTTGTCTCCGATTTAGCATCGGAGCAGTGTCTAGTGGACATAGTTTTATCAAAAGCGAAGAAGAAAAGCTTTTGTGGTGTAAAGTTTTTAGTGAAACCATTTGCAAAGGTAAGCAGCAGCATGGAGTGATTACCACCAACAAGGATATGTTACTAAAGGACTTCCACAATTGAAAACAATTTAATGCAACTCTAAAACATAATTGGAAAACGTGCACCAAACAAATTGAAACAAATTTCACATCAAAGATATTTTAAGTGCCGTGATTTGTGACTGTGATTTGCCAGCAAATATCCAATTTTGTTGCCGAAGGCTTCCCACAAATTAAGAAGAACAGTGGTGTCGAAAATTACAATAAAACTCAACTTCGTATGACGCTTTGAACAAAATCAATCAAGTTGTCTACCCAAGTCGTTCAAACTATGAATTTTAGTTTACCAGACTTCAGTTTTATCCTCTCCTTTGTTCGATTTTATGGTAAAATGGTAAAATGCAATAAGAAGTGATACAAACTAAAACAAGTTTCTTTCCCAACTTTTTATTTCAAATCCAAACTATGCATTTTCATATAATAGGCTCCAACTAAAATAATAATAAATTTGTTGCCAAAGTTTTAAAAATGTCAAACAAGTTCGTTGTCTAAGTCTTTTGTATATGTGGCAAAAAAAATTTTGTTAACATCAACAAAATTGGTTACCAGGACTTTTTTATATACAACTCTTTATTTCAAATCCAAACTGTAAAAAGTTTGCCTAAGTTTTTGAAATTTCAAACAAGTTCGTTGTCTAAGCCTTTTGTATATGTGGCAAAAAAATATTTGGTTAACTTCAAGAAAATCGCTGTCCAGGATTTTTTTATACACAGTATGTATATAAAACGCTTTTTGGAGCACTTTAGTTCTCCAGCTTTATAGGCCTGCATCTGTTGTGCTTAGTAATCAGTTAGTGGCTGAGTATAACTCATAGCTTTTGGCTCAGATAATTTCAACAGAAACTGAAAAAACCTCTCATTGACTCCTTTTATTCTGAAACAAATAAGTTTCGATAGGAAATCAAACTAATTTAAAACAAAAATTTATTTAATACAAGTTCGTTGCCTAAGTCTTTTGTTTGACCTCAACAGAATATATCAGTCTTTTGCCCCAAAGCAGACAATACTTAAGTTTGTTTTGAAATCAGTTCATTGAAGATTCTAAATTCGTACACCCGCTCATCTGAAGTGCCATGCACCTCAAGTTTTTCATTACACAATTCCGTCGCTCACAGCTGCCGCAAAACCTCAAGAAAAATGCATGAAAATCTGTAAAAAAAAAAATAAAACACTGTACATACAAGTACAATAAATTATGCATTTTAAAGGTTCAACACTTTGCGCAAGCGCGCACATAAAATGTAAAAAAAGACCTACACTTACATACAAAATTAAAAAAAAACAACGTTAAAGCGCGTTTGGCTTTGAAATTTTTGAAAACACAGAAATTTACATAAACAATCGAAAAATGTGCGGCCGCATGTAATTTGGCTAAGCAGCAGCAACAATAACATCCGAGGGGCCAATAATTAAATGCATTATCAGCGCTTGTGTTTTGCCACATTATTGATTGATTAACATGCACGAAACAAGCCAGTAACAACAACAGCAACAACAACAACTTCAGCAACAAAAGCGCTGATAGACAAAATTACAAAACTGAACATTAAAACTTCAAATCGATTGAATGCCGGCCTATTTCCAAACGCGCAGCCAATGATGGACAAACAAACAGTCGCCTCTGTCGGGCATTTGAACTTTTCACTTTAAAAATGTCGTCGTGGTCGGCGTCTAGCATGAAAATACATAAAATTAATAACAATAAACGTCGACGACAACGCAACATAAAAAAAAACTGAGCGCTCTGGAATACATTTTTAAATGTCTATGAAATTGTTTTCAATTTTCAAATTAAGCGCTGCCGCTAATGCGGCTGATAAGCATAGCCGGTGGCATAGCGGCCATTAATGATTTATGTTGCCAAATCCCCCAGCAACAACAATAGCAACACAATAGCAACAACAATCAACGTGCACGCACTGTGGGGGCTTTGAACAACAATGAACTCATGAATAAAGGCAATATATAGCGATAAAGATCGCAGCCACAAAAATACGAGTACAATATAAAAATCAAATTAAGATGCAAAATTTCAAAGTTGAACTGGGCAGGGACATTGAGCTTTGATTGATGATTGTGTGCAGGCACGACTATAAGCAGCGACAGAGGGTCCCCCTCATACACAATAAATGAATTAGTGAAGAAATCAAGGAAGGCAAACAAGAATACCAAAAACTTAAATGCTGAAGTACGCAGCCAAAAATAAAAGCAAACTTTTAATTAAAATGCAAGAGACGTGGAAGGTTCTAGACATGAACACACACATGCTCGTATATAGAAACGACAAGTAGAAGTACGATTAAAAAAACTACAAAAACACTTACATACTTGTACATACATATGTATGTACATATGTATGTATGTATATGCGCTACTGGTGTAGCGTCTGAAAAGCAAGCAAAGATAAAAAGTCAATAAAACCAGTTAAGGTCAGGCGCTGGTCTGGTCTGCTTCTTGCCGCCCGTTGCTGGCTTGTTGGCTTGTGTAATCAACATGTTTGGCGTTTTTTTATTTTTATTTTGCAGCAGCAGCAGCAGATGCTAAATGAATTTTTATTTATGAAAATGAATAATGTGACGTGCTGCCTCTGCCACTGCTGCTGCTGCTGCTGCTGCTGATCACGTTGCCACAATAAAAATAAAGTTTCAAGTGTCGTCGTCAGCAGCCAAGTTGTTGCTGTCAACGCTGTAGTTGTTGTTGTTATTGCTGCTGCTGCTGGTACTGGTGCTGGTGATGCTGTTGTCGCTTCACTGTGGCACTGTGTCAGTTGTGCCAATGGCCGGCACATGCATGCATTTGTATTTTTGCTAAAGTGCCCCAAGCAACCGGTTGGATGCTGCATCCTTGACATAAAAAACACAACAACAAACAACTTGAAAAACAACAACAACAACCAATGGCCAACGACCAAGTTACATCTTCGCTGGCAAACGCAAATTTATACAGCATTGCGTATACGCACCGTAGCAGCAGCCACAACAACAACAACATGTACCAAATAAAAAGAGCAATACTATCATCATCACCTTCAACAAGTTTGTTGATATGTAAAAACTGATATGCTAATGGGCCACTGTGTTATAGCATTTACATATGTTTGGCCAATATTTGGGTGCTGCCCTGCTGTTGTTAACTGCTGGCGATTGATTGGCACGTTTCTCACACAAACACACAGACACACCCATTGCAGGGCTTTTTCCCAACTTTTAATTCAATTCATTCACGATTGAGGATGTAAAACAGTGAATGAAGCCCATTTGGCAGCCAATTAATTAACTTAAGGCATAAAGTAAATATCATAAAAGAAATATCATAAAATCCAGCTTCTTATGAATCATGTTTTTCAAATGCAGTTTCTTTAATTTCTAATAAAAAAATAATTGAATATAGTAAATGAGGATGTACTGTCTCAATTGGTAATAGTTAATATTTGCTAGAAATTAATTAACATTTTTTAGCACTTCATATGTCTACTTAGAATTTGAAAATTAGGCAATTAACACAATTTGGAAACTTTAAAATACCTTAAACTTTCGTTTATTTTTATTAAGTTTTCCCATTTATTGGTCCAAAGTGCCAACTGTTACTGGATGTACTATATACTATTAAGTTAGTTAGCTTATATACTTAAAAGATAGAGGATTTCGGCATTTCAAATGCAATTCTTTTGCTTTTAAAAACAATAAATCTGATATGGGACAATTTTTTTTATTATTAAGAAATTTGGCCAAATTTTTCCGACTTGTTTTTGACCACAAACTTACTGGTTTAATCAAGAAGTAGTACCATTGAAATATAACAGCCTCAAATTTTAGGGAACCTGCAGTTCGACTTAAAAAGTCTCTTCCAACGAAAACGGTCGGCTTCTAAACATTTTTAAAAATATAAATAATATAATAATCAAACTTTAACGCATTTTCTCTATAAAATAAACTTAAACTAATCGAATTATTCTTTTCTAATTTTTCCAGATGAAAGTCACCTTGGCGTTAGCGGCTTTCTGTTTGGTGGCGGCCAGCACTGATGCTGCCATCCATCAGGCCAGAACAACAACAACCACAGCGACAAAGCCTGGACGCTTCCTCTCGCTGCCTGTGCCCGCCAAGTGCGCCAGCCGTAAGTTTCCCATCACCCATTACCAAAATTACCCGTACTTGTAATTTGTGTTTATGTTGTTGTTGCTGCCAAATACGTGGCGAAAAGTAAAAGTAAATGCCGATGACAATGTTCGCATATCAAATGCGAAGCTCTTTGCCAAGTTTGCACTTGAATTTGTTTGGCAATGCGACGTGTGGGCGTGTAACCGCATTATTAACATAGCTACACATATAGTATATACATACATACGACTTAAAGTATACATACAAGTATGTACGCACAAATACATTGCAATAACAGACTGACTGACTGACGTTGACAGTCGTTGGCAGATAGTGGGTGTTTCGCCTGACTGAAGGTCGCTGACGTGATCGCTTACACGCGTTTGTCTTGGCACACTTTTGGACAGAGACTTTCTTTGAGACATCTGTAAATGGCAGTCCTGAAGTACAAGAAATAAATCAACTTATTAATCCTAATCAAAAATAAAAACATATTTCAATTTGAGCAAATTTTCAGACAATGTCCACATATCGAATTTGGTTTGTTCTACAAAGTTAACCATTTCCAAGACTTATATAAGTACTCGAATAATAAAAACGAAGCAAAAAGTTATTTGTTATAAAATTGCTGGTCTTTAAATATGTAGTACCTATTATTTTCTAATATAGCCAAGCAATTTCTTTAAAATATTGCTAGACTTGTCTGAAGATATAAGATACGTTTATCTATTTATTTAAATTACAAATCAATCAAAGCAATAATCTATTGTATAAAAAATATTTATACATATAAAATATTGATAGGCTTGCCTGAAGATTTTAGATGGTCTTATCTATTTAATGTGCCAAAGTTTTCCATACCTTTAAAGAACTCTGGTCTTATACTCAAGAAAATTATATAACATTTCTTTTTATAAATATTTTAATGTTAGTTAGTTTCTGTCACGCCTCTATCTCCTAATTTGTTGGGCTCTGTTTACTGAAAACTGTCTCGAATGTTAGGTGTGGAAGCATTTTCCACGCTCTAGGCTTATGGCAAACTAATGGGTTATTTCAGTCATTTTCAGTCAAATGGGCTGCAAGATTGCGAAAATGCAGCAGCGAAGCGTTCAAACAATAGCGTCGTCATCCCGCCAGCTCGTCATGCCGTCATCACTGCATATCCGGTATACTAATGAACACGTTGTTGTTGCTGTTGCCCGATGCAGTTACTCAGTGCTGCCATTTATAACTAATTAGGCACACACACAGCCGCACTCTCTGCCTTTCTGTCTGTCAGTCTCTCAGTCTGTCTGTCTCTGTGAGGCGCACACAGTTAGATGGCCTATTCAAAAGTGCAGCGTCAGCCGAACATGCAACTTCATTTTGGGCCACAACTACAACCACAGCTAGAGCTAGAGCTACAGCTTCAAAGTTACGAGTGTAACTCAAGTGGCAAAGCTGCATAGCCAGTTTAGTTTGATTCCGAGTTAGATCTTTCATCTTTTAGAAATTTCCAGTTATACAACTCACATGGCTTTGGAAATAAAATGAATGGGGAGGGAAAAAAGCAAACTTAATTTTCAGCTTTAAATAGTTAAAGCTTTAAAATAAACCAATTAGCTATTCAAACTTAATTAGCGGCTGTGTAGACGGGCGGCTCGTAAACAACAACGGCAACAAAAACAACAGCAACAACAACCGCAATAGCAACAACAACAACAACAATAAGCTCATTGAATGGCATTTGGAAACGGATTTTCTAAAGCGCAGTCTGCAGCTCATTTAGATACGAATCTTAAAGCTTGTTTCATTTTTATTGCGTGCAACTTTTTTGTTGTTTCTTCATTATTATTGCTTTAGTATCTCAAAGTTGTCTGACTAGAAAATTAGCACAAATCTGAGGATTATGCAATGGTTGAGATCAAGAGGAAGAAGAAGAAGAAGTAGCTGCAGACAGGCTTTTAGGGCTGCCAAGTGTGAGAGAGGAAAGTGAAGTGAATCGGGCATCTTAGTTTTTTTATTGCCTTGACCCAAAAGGGTGGAAGACAAACAATGTTAGGAAATTGCAGCTAGTCTAAACAAAAAACTAAGCAAAAACAAAATAATAATAATAATAATAATAATGTTCACACAATGGGGAATAAGGTCATTATGTTAGAGTAAAGCCGATTTGGCGTGAAGAGTGGAAAGACAGGCGGACCAACTTGATCGAATGGGTGGACGGGCGGTTGCAAAAGTGCCAACGTCAGACGCTTTTAAGCCGCTTAAAAAAAAAATGAAAAAAGAAAAAACTGCGACTAATGACGCGTGCTTGTGGACAACGGACGGCAAACGCCGAACAGTGAACAGCGGGGCGTGGCAGACACATAAAGAAAAAAACATATAGCACGGTCGTTGCTGTTAATCACATGGAAGCTGACGTTGAAGCTGTGGCGCTGTTGCAGTGGCAGTGGCAGGCAGAGGCAAAGGCAGCGATGTGAAACAAGTTTCGTTTGTTTTACTTTGCTGCAGGAGGATGCATACATAAGAGGGGGGAATCCCATTGTTGACTTAACGTCTCTTTTTTTTGTTTTTGTATGGCTGCTCGATGTTTTTGTTGCTTTGCTTCTTTTTTTTTTTTGTCTAATGGAAATGTAAACAGACTGACGAAGGCGCAAAACCTTTTGACACACACACACACACACATACACACACAATGGCATGCCAAGGAAAGCTACAGCTACTGGTGTGGCACATGAAGAAGAAGCCTGCTGCATAAATTGCGGCAATTGCGCAACAAAAACAGCAGCAGCAACAACATAAACAGCAGTAGCGGGTTGTGTAAGCCCGTTAGCGTTTTAAATTTTTTGTGTCGTCTTGTTTTCACATACATACTTACCACCAATCGGGTATTGCGAATTGAAGTTAAACGCTCTTTTCTCTTTTGACTGCAGGGCCCAAGGAGTTCTCCTACCGCGGCAAAAATATGTTCCTGACCACACACGTGCCCGCTCTGGCCAACAAGAAGGTCGACTGGTTGGATGGCCGTAATCTGTGCCGCGAATACTGCATGGATCTGGTCGCATTGGAGACCCAAGAGAAGAACAATCTGATCTTCCGTGTCATCCAGCAGAATGATGTGCCCTATATCTGGACTGCCGGTCGCATTTGCGATTTCGCTGGTTGCGAGAATCGTCCCGATTTGGAGCCCAAGAACGTCTATGGATGGTTCTGGTCCGCAACCCGTGAGAAGATTCAGGCCACCAACCGCATTCCTCAGGGCTGGGGCTACAATCCCTGGTCTCAGACCGGCCACAAGAAGCGCCCACAGCCCGATAATGCCGAATACGACATCAACCAGACCAAGGAGCAGTGTTTGTCGGTGTTGAACAACGTATATAATGATGGCATCGCATGGCACGACGTTGCCTGCTATCATGAGAAGCCCGTCATCTGTGAGGATAACGAGGAATTGCTGCGCTATGTGGCAGCCACAAATCCGGGCATTCGTCTATAAGTCCTTGGCGGCGATTGTTGTTTGTAATTTTACTTATTATTATATTCCTTAAATGATTTTTGTGTAATTTTGTGTTATGTTTACGACGAAAAGCAAGACAAATAGACTTTAGAATTTATAATTTTTGCATCTGCTTCTATCATTATCTCTATACCTACGTATGTTATTTAACAAATTACAAAATTCACTCTCCAACTTGTTTCGAAACTGCCAAACTATATGAACAAAAAATAATAATAATAAACACCTATGTAGAAGCTATTTATCCCGTACGACTTATACTTATGCAATTGTGAACAAAAAGCTATGTATTTATTGCTAGTAGAACTAATTGTATAGTATTTACAGGAACTTCGCTCTCTACTCTGTAATACAAATGAAATCTCTTTGTAATTTTTCCTTCGATGTAAAAATGAAAAGCTCATTTCCTTTGCTCAAAAGAGATTGAATAAAATTTGTAAAAATCCATTTAAAAAACGTAACGTTTTATTATTTGGTATAAATTTACATCTAAACAGACTGTTGAATTGGCGTTATTGATCTGATTTTCAGGTATTTTAAGTAACTCGCTTTGCCTTGATATTCCATAAGTCAAGACTGTGAAACCGTCCGGCTCTTGCTTCTCCTACTATCATTACAATTGGTATGATTTCGGTATCTCTTGGAGAAGTCTCTGGAAGTTTGCTTTTTCTCTCTACTTGGACTTTTACTCCTGGAGTGCGCTTTTCGAGCAGACAGGTCGGTAGATATTTCCGGCTCTGGGCTTTCAGACCAACGCCAATTTCTCGAGCGATCTGTTTTATCATCCCAGCTGAAAGATAATTTATTCCTAAACAATATTCTTTTATCTATGGACATTTCAATATTTGTACATACCTGGGCGTTTTAGTTTCAGGCGTGCTTATCGTATTATACTTTCTGGTATTGCGTGGCGTCTGCTCCAGATCGCAATTATACAAATTCCTAGGATTGCGAAACAAATGCAGGTAGGCACAGCTGAAACCTTTTGGACATTTGCGTGTTAAGGACAAACCTTTAAGTAATTACAATTTAAGCAAAGAGATTTATGTTTATATGTAACAATACTAGTTCTACTGATTGATTTCTAATCATTTTGATAAGGATACGTTTTCTGGTCGATCGCCCATTTTGGCTCACATACCGCAAACAGCACCGCGCCAGGTCTTCAAATTAGAGAACTCCACATTAAGGCGCCTCGAGGCATAATAGCGCCCCTGTAGATTAATAAAGGCACGTAAAGCCGACCTGCAAGAGCAAGAGTTGCATGGACTATCAACAACGTTTAGTGGAGCTTATACAAACCGTTCCTGCTCATATTCCACAAACACATGGCCACGCAGATGAGCCAATGTGTTGCGCACAGCCCTGAAATTTAATATTCTCCCAAATTTCTCCAATTCTGGCACCACATCCGCAAAGAATTCATCGTAGTCGTTACGCAGATCACGTTCGTTTAGTTCCAAATCGGCATCAGCAGTAGCGTATTCCTTGTGTACATCTGAATGCAGCAGGGGATGGGTGAAGAAATGGCGGATAAGCAGAATTCGCGCCAACATGGGACGTTTGTGATTAAAAGTACAGTGAAGCCCGAAACGGCAAGAATTGGTGCGTGTAAAAAACTCGCACGGCTTCTCCTCAGGACGCGTTTCAGCCACACGCTGTAAGTCTGGCGGCGGACTTCTTTGCTCTGCATTCTCTAAAAAATCGTGCATGCGCTGCATCATTGCCTCGAATTCAGCTGCTGCTTCTTGAACCATTCTTTGCCTCTCCTCTCGACGTTCACGCTGTACTTTCTCACGTGCGGCCAACTCCTGGAACTGTTGTTCACGCAAACGTTCCAATTCCGCCTCCTCCTGGCGGCGTTTGGCCAGATCTACTCGAAATTGGCGTTGTGCCAGCGCTTCGCGTCGCAACCACGCTTCCTCCATATCCTGTTGCTGACGCTCCGCCGCCAAACGCTGGAATTCTTCCAACTCTGCTTGCTGTTGCATCCAAATCTGGTATGCGGGATCAAGTTCCCTTTGCATTTGTTCATGGTCGCGTTCCTGCGCACACCTTTGCCTACGACGCTGCCTCTGATACTTCTTTACCAGTTTGCGCCAAGATCTGCTTTCAACGGAACTCAAAATAAACAAAATAAAATTTTTATATTGCAAAGTTTGCTTACCTTTTGCCCGGCATTTTTTGTAAAACGTGGCAACGCTGTATACAGCACTCAGTATATTTAAAAATCCTAATATTTAGTACTTGATTCTACAGCACCCAATTTGTATTTTGGTATTTTACAGCTTTGTTTCATCCCTTGATACTTTAAGCATTTTGACATTTTACTATACGGTCACAGTGTGTTCGCTAATGCTATCTAATTTTCGCACGAAAATACTAATGTAAATACTAGAAGATTACCAAGAAAAAACTGTAAATTGCGATTGGCGCCACAAAAATCCAAGTCTGTTATTTACTTTTTTTTTTAAATAAGTATACAAATCACCGAAATCACAATGTCAATGACAGGCGTCAGATTAAGCAAGGTGAAGAGACTGTACCACCAAAAGTATCGTTCAGAATGGGAGAATCTGCCGTCATTCCAGCACTGGCTGTGTCGTGGAGCTGACGGGTATATGGCTCATTGTAGGATCTGTAATGTCAGTATATTGTCTCGGATTGCATCAATTAAACAGCATCACAACACCCGTAAGCACCAAAAAGCTTTAAAATTGGCAAAGGTAAGACAAATAGTGGTGTCATAGTACATTAGTATATACATACATATCTACATACATATATCAATTGTCTAACATTATAGCAGAATTTATTGAAGCTGGATGAAGAGAAGCCCAGCTCATTGATAATGAAACCAAACAAAGCGGTGGCGATGGCCGCTTTTGTTAAGAAGGAAAGAATGCTAAAGAAACCAACAACGCCAAAGAATGTGAAAAACTTCTTAAACGAGGAGCTGCACGAGGATGGAGAAGTCGAAATACATAATTCACAAACTGTAAGGTAGTCACTAATATAAAAATTCGTTATATCTAAAATGGTATCCACTTTAGCATTCCATAATTTTGCCCAGTAAAAGGAATTTTTCAATATCAATAAAATCATCACCCACTGATACGCCCACGATTAATGAAAAAACGCCAAATAAAATCAGCCCGCAGACGCATATGGAGACCTGCTCAAGCGACTCAATGCTGGAGGATTTACTGGGTCCTGAGGACATCGAAAGAGAAAGCACTGATGAAATAGAAAGGGAATACATTGCAGAAGATGGATTTGTTACTGAGACAGATCACGACTTAAAAATTGAGGAACTGCGTATGGGCGACTTGCAAGAGGACGGTATGGAGGAGGAGCATATTATTAATGAGTTTGATCTGTTCGGAAAAAGTGTAGCCTTGCAGCTCAACAACATGGAGCTTGAGGATGCCCTGTTGTGCCAGGATCGAATGCAAAGTGTTCTCACTGAGTTTCGCCTGAAAATAATCAAGCGCCAGAGGAAGTATCACATGTAATATGATAGATTTAAAGTATAGCATACTTACTGATGGAATATGTAAACTAATATTCATAAACGTATTTATATAGATGTAATATGTATGCATATGTTTATTTTATTGAGCTTCTATTTCGTCTATGAACGCACGACACTTCTTCTTTAGTGCCTTGACGGCTTCAACGAAAATTACTTCGGGCTTAAGGGCACCTACCGATTCCACATTAAATATATAGTGGTCGCGTACTCGTGCCATAGTGACGGCATCCATCAGTTGTGGGTACCGAAAGACATTTCGACTGCAGCTGTCGTATCGGGCATCCTTCACATAGGCACGCTCGTTCTCGTCAATGCCAATGACGCCCGGCGAAAAGCATCTCTGAAGCAAATAGGCATCCTTGCCAGTAACCTCCCGGTTGAGTTCGATCTGGGGCAGCAGTCGATAGTATGCAGTCGCCACTGGCGAAAATTTGGCATGGTCTTTGCCTATACCTTTGACAGCTATTAAACGCAAATCCAATTCATGCCCTGGTCGCAATTGGGTAATTAGTATGTCGTTGTGGACGCAAGATACACTGCTCTCACTATAGATCTGTGCCTGTTTGCCTTTGGGAAGCCATTTTAAATGACCCGAGTACACTTTATGATTTTTGTATATGTCGTCGAAATGGGCCTGGTCCTTTAGAGTATCTTTGCGTCGCGTACATCTTACCTTCAGCTCGAATTCAAGTGTGTCCTGCTCTGTGCCAGTTTCTGGACTCTCTTCCGTGCGGTAGGAGAAAAGTCGGGGATCTGCTTTCAATGGCAACAATCCCATGCGATGTGCCAGTACTTCATCCTGTATGATCGACGTGTTATTGTAGATATACACCTTTTCAATGGCCATGCTTGGCACTTCACTCAGCATCAGCCGGCGGAATGCGTTTGCAATGGCCGGATAAACCCCTATCATATCGAATTCCAATCCATCTTCATCGTTTCTACGAAAGACAATTGCGATATAGAATGGATACATCGGTAGGCAATGTCTGCTCACCTAACAACTACAATATGCAGCTTTTGTTTGAATGCTTCAATGCTGAAAACATCGTCCGCAAGGCCATAGTCCTCCGGATCCTGTTTAATTGCGAACTCATTCAAGTATGAAAGCGGTTGATTCCTTTCCTCAGGCATTTCTACTTCCAATCACAAGAACCCAGCCGCTTTTCAATGATTCAAGCGCCCGCACGTGGAGCTATCAAAACAAGTATCGGTGTTTGGGAAATGAACAGCTGACTAATTCATGACGTCACAACAAGTTTTTAAAGCTGTGTTGAAAAGCGTGAAAGCAATAACAATAACAATTTGAACATTTTATTTGCTCAGCATATATTTTTTAGGATATCATAAACAAATCCAAAAAAGACACAATTATACTAATACCCTCAATAATCTGATTTATGAAAAATTACGGTTTTAGGCATTCTTATACTTAAAAGGTTGACCCTTATAAATACTATAGTACAAGTCTAAATTGGTATGCATCTTTTTCTAGCATTTAATCTCTGAGTGCTAAATGCGGAGATCAAGTATTTCGCAAACAATACTTCAGAATTTATAAGTTGGTGTCAAGCAGACGAGCCAGGCCCGATCTGGCATCTCCATTGCCATCAGCTGTTATTTAACCGGCGAACAAATCTCCAGCACTTTACGTAAAAGTTTTTTATTTTTGAGGTAAACCATAAGAAAAATGTCACGCAGTTTACAACGTTTGATGGGGCGCTGGACGCAGTTTTCGCGCTGGACACTAAAGCACCCACAACCGCAACAAATCGCTCGCAACTTCTCTGCAACGGCTGACCCCACAAAAGGCAAAGGACCCATATCATGGCGAAGCTTGGGTGTGATTGGTGTGCTAGGCCTAGGGGGCTTGGGTTTCATGCTTTATGTGAAGAACGAGAAGGACGAGGCACGAATGAAGGAGCGTAAACGGCAGCTTGGCAAAGCTGCAATTGGTGGACGTTGGGAGCTCATAGATTCGCAAGGACAGGTGCGCAAGTCGGAAGACTTTCTGGGCAAATGGCTTCTCATTTATTTTGGCTTCACCCATTGCCCTGATATCTGCCCAGATGAGCTGGAAAAGATGTCAGCTGTTGTGGATGAAATTGGTAAGTCAATACAATACAAATTTGATCTAAAAGCTTATATTATTAATAATTTGGTTCATAGAAAAATCTCCACAATTACCTGAAGTTCAGCCCATATTTATAACAGTGGATCCGGAACGTGACTCAAAAGAAATTGTGGGCAAATATGTTAAAGAGTTCTCGCCTAAGCTGCTGGGCCTCACCGGCACTGTGGAACAAATTCGGAATGTGTGCAAAGCATTTCGCGTGTACTTTAGCGCAGGCCCGCGTGATAATGACAATGATTATATAGTCGACCACACCATTATCATGTATCTGGTAAATCCTGATGGTGAATTTGTTGACTATTACGGACAGAATCGCGACAAGGATCAATGTGTTGCTTCTATTTTGGTCAATATCGCAAAGTGGAACACAGCAAATAAAAAATCCTGGTTCAGCTAGACGGAGAAAAGATTACATGGCTCCAAATTAGCCCTTGCGAGCATTAATTGTTGTATTTTACTTTACTGTAAGCTCTAAAAAACACCAGCAAAATAAACATTTCAAATTACACACCCGTTCAATATTTGATGTACTGGCAGCACCACATCAGTTTGAGTGTGGCAACACTGTTTGTACACGAATTGTTCGCCCTTTTTGACGTTTGTGCTGCGTGGATGTGCAGAAATTGTTGTTTTCTCACAAAAATCCTATTAAATATACAATATGGTGCGTAAAAATGAATATACGTGCAGACAGCCGAGCGTTTATATAGCCGCGTTGAGCTGTGCATAGTTTGTTTTGTTCTTTTTCAATTGTTTCAAAATATTTCGCGGATAAAGTCAAAACATAACCTAAAAAATACGGCGCTAGCGCTCCAAATGATTAATTTTGCACTATTTTGAAAAACGTATTTTTATTTTCTCAGCGTCCGTTGATGCTGCAGGGCCACGAGCGTTCTATAACGCAAATCAAATACAATCGCGAGGGTGACTTGCTCTTCTCCAGCTCTAAAGATCAGAAGCCAAATGTGTGGTACTCGCTAAATGGCGAGCGCCTGGGCACGTACGATGGCCATCAAGGCGCTGTGTGGTGCTTGGATGTGGACTGGGAGAGCAGGAAGCTGATCACTGGCGCCGGTGACATGACCACCAAAATTTGGGATGTCGAGCATGGGACTGTAATTGCATCCATACCTACTAAGTCTTCCGTGCGCACCAGCAACTTCAGTTTCTCAGGCAATCAGGCGGCCTATTCGACGGACAAGGCTATGGGTCAAAACTGTGAGCTGTTCATCATTGATGTGCGCAATGCCGACTCCAGCTTGGCTGAACAGACGCCCACATTACGCATACCCATGATTGAGTCAAAGATTACATCTATGTTGTGGGGACCATTGGATGAGACTATCATCACTGGTATACCGAGCCCGCCCTAAATGCACAAATTAAAAATATTAATCGTAATTGCTTTTAGGACACGACAATGGAAATATTGCAATCTGGGACATTCGTAAGGGTCAAAAAGTTGTTGATTCTGGTTCGGATCACACCGGCGGTATCAACGATATGCAGCTGAGTAAGGACGGCACCATGTTTGTGACAGCTTCGAAGGACACTACGGCCAAGTTGTTCGATTCGGAATCGTTAATGTGTCTAAAAACGTACAAGACGGAAAGGCCTGTAAATTCGGCGGCCATCAGTCCCATACTTGATCATGTTGTGCTGGGTGGTGGTCAGGATGCTATGGAAGTGACCACGACCTCAACTAAAGCGGGCAAATTCGATTCGCGTTTCTTTCATCTCATTTACGAGGAAGAGTTTGCGCGTCTTAAGGGCCATTTTGGTCCCATCAACAGTTTGGCCTTTCACCCTGATGGCAAGAGTTACGCTTCGGGCGGTGAGGACGGATTCGTACGTGTTCAGTCATTCGATACTACATACTTTGAGAACATCTTCGAGTAGTCCACCCGCTCCCAATTATAGTTGTATAAATTTTGTATTTATCTAAATTGGTGCAGCGCTAGTGAAAACGCATATTTATCTGCCATTTTTTCATTGGCGTCATGTACGCGTGCAAGAAGAATTTTCAAATATACGCAAGAACGAGAAGAAAAAACGTTTATTCACAATTTGTTTACATTTCCTTACCAGCGACTACAAAAATATCTAACAGATTCCTATATGCTTTGGTGTGTGCTTAAGGCAAATACTTAAAAGAAGGAACGCTTCTTCTGCTTCAACACAACTGGCTCGCCCTGCATGGCGGCCAATTGAGCAGGTGTGGGCAAGCAGCCAGGTGGTGGCGGAGGAATGACGACGGCACCATTAGCTGTAGTGCGCATTTCGGCACGTGCGTCCAGCGTCAATACATGAGAGGCAGAAGCACCAGTTGGAATGGCATTATGCGGTTGCCTCTGAACTTGGGCCGGTAACTGTTGGTGATGGGTCATGCCATAGTACCGGTTGTCGCCCATTGGCGGCTGATAGAACTGTGCAGGGGTCGTAGTCAGCTGGTATACCTGTCCAGGACCCATAGGCGGCTGAAACACCTGTGCTGGAGTAAAATTAGAATGTGTAACTGAAGCCTGCGGAGTCGATAGTGTGGGATAGGAGACACGTTGACTTTCCTCGTAAGTGGGCGGCGGGGCGCGCTAATGAAGAAAATATTTATTAATCGATCACATGAAATTAGCACTTCACCTACCATGGCTATGGCAGCAGCACTATCATACAAGTTCGAATACGGCGCACTTGGAGCAGTTGGAGCCTTGGCTTCTTCCGGTTTCTCTACAATAGTAGTTCAGGGTTTACAGCAGGCTCGTAAATTATTTATATTTAATTTACCTATATTTGACTTGGACATTTTCTCTTTTTTGTCCGTTCTTTGTTTTGATAGATAAATTTCCTGAATCACTAATTTTTCTTAGGTTTTGTAGCGTTGCCACCTATGCCAGAAATGTAATGTCAGCTTTGGCAGTAAGTATTTGTCAATAACACAGAATTCTCCAAATTTATCAGCTGTTTAATGAAGAAGCAGATAGACCCAACACACCGTAATAAGTTGTTAGCCCTGACCAAATGCTATAAAACACATATATATTGTTCCTTTTTATTTAAAGACTGCAATATATTGGTTGCTCACCTTGATCCATTAACATAGCAAGTTCCCAAGAGAATGGCCCACGCCACATCACAGGTACAGAAATCAAACCAATTAACGCTTCATTACACCACGCGCCGCTTTTTGTGACGCAATAGCTTCAGGAGAACAAACTCAATTCACATTATGCTTTGTCTTTTCTAGGGCCCTAAGCTTTTATATGGCTTTAAACGGCCCAATCGCTTTGAGAAGGGGCTGGGTGCCCAACTGCCCGAAGCCTACAGGAAATTCTGGCGTGAATGGAAACTGACGACTCCGGCAGCTGTGCATTATATTCCCAAGGATGGTCAGTGGGAGCGTGACGAAGTCACGAACGAGATCAAACCGATCCAGAATATACCACTGCCACTAATTGATCCGCCGGAATCGCATGAGGGCATCTGGGGTGGTGAATCCGTTATCAAGGGTTTTCAGAAGAGGCAGCAGACCAAGCGACGCGTTCCTCACTTCTGGGTTCCTGTGCTCAAACGTTCAGTGGTGCACAGTCAGGTGTTGAACGAATATATGTCCGTGGTGGTCACAGAACGCACGCTGGTGCAGATACACGAATGCTTTGGCTTCGATCATTATCTTCTTAAGAATTTGGCCTGTGATCTACGTTCCTCACTGGCTCTGAAGTTAAAGCGTAAGATTCTGCAAGAGTTAGAAAAGGGTTGCCCGGCATTGGCAGCCGATCCAGGCCATCAGAAGGAAGTTCTAAAGGAATATAGCCGATACTTGGAGTCGGTGAGTCATATGGAAATGTGCCCTTTGTATAACAAATTAACTATTCCATAACTTTTAGTATACTTCGGAGGAAATTGATTGGTATGGTCATACATATCTAGAAGCCATTCGCAAGCTGCAGATTCAATTGAAAGCAGAGGAAAAGGTAGTGCCACACAAGGTCGAATTTCGCAGCCAATTGATTGAGCAACTGCGCAAGGCTGGTATCGCCGAGGCGGGTGGCTCAGATGCAAGTGCCACAAAAGACGCTCAACCCAGTGCTGAGCATAAGGATGCGGATATTGAGGCACTGACCAAACTGTATGTTGCAAAACTTTACTTAATTCAATTCCATTTTAAATGTTGCTTTTTTGCAGTGAATCGTCGCCGTCGTCCTCCAGCTGGCTGTCGAAGATTAACCCGTTTGGCAAAAAGGAGACATAGGTGACATTACTTTGTGTTCCTCCCCTTTGGTAGTCCACTCTGTTTTCTTGGTTTAATTGTTTTGATTGGAAAAAATAAACCACGACCTTAAACGTGAAATCAACTTATATTGTTGTATTGTGTACTTCGTGTGTATTTCGCTCGCTAGCTCTGTAGGAGCGTGGGTTAAAATAACACCGACCACTAAATTTGTTTCCTTATCGATTTATCGAAAAATAGTTCTTTGACCTCAGTGTCAATTCACTCGGCCACAATGAGTCATTTTATATAAGTTGTACATATTGCGATATATATATATATATTTGTTAGATTGAATAAAAACTATACAGAACACTGAGATAATTACGCTGACATCCACGGCAAGTAGAAAAAGGAATGATTGCAACTCCCGTCGGAAAAAAACACAGAGACATTGAGAAGGACAAATACAACGATCACTTTCAACTTAAGATTAAATAATAGAGCTCGGTTAAGCTTTGTGCCTATACGTCCTGTTGGCGGCTGTTCACTATGCAATGGGATTCTTCTTCATCAGCTCTATATCGGCTGTCATCATATCGCTGACCAGCTGCTGAAAGCTCACTTTTGGCGTCCAGTTTAGCTCGCGTTTGGCCTTTGATGCGTCGCCTTGTAGCAAATCCACTTCTGTGGGCCGGAAATACTTTGGATTGATGCGCACACGCACAATGTCGGTGTCACGCTCAACGCCCACCTCGTTGACGCCGCTGCCGCGCCACTGTATTTCGCGTCCAATGTGCCTGAATGAGGCCTCCACAAATTCTCGCACGCTGTGCGTCTCTCCAGTGGCAATCACAAAGTCCGTGGGCTTTTCTTGCTGCAGCATCATCCACATGGCCTCCACATAGTCACTAGCATGGCCCCAGTCGCGTTTCGAGTCCAGATTGCCGAGCTCAAAATACTCCATCTGATTAAGCAAAATTTTAGCCACTGACCGTGTTATTTTGCGTGTTACGAAATTCTCGCCTCGCCGCGGACTCTCATGATTGAATAGTATGCCGTTGCAGGCGAACATATCGTAGGCTTCGCGATAATTAACCACAATCCAAAATCCGTACATTTTGGCGCAGGCTGCAATAATTCGATGGAGAATTTATTTTGAACAAGTAGAAGTAAAATGGAAATGCTTACCATATGGTGACCGTGGATAGAACGGCGTCTGCTCGTTCTGTGGTGTCTCCACCACCTTGCCGTACAGCTCAGACGTAGAGGCCTGATAGAATCTTACTGTGCGCTCCATGCCACATGTCCTGATGGCGTCCAGTATGCGCAACGTGCCCACTGCATCCACTTCGGCCGTGTACTCGCTCAAATCGAACGAGACCTTGACGTGTGACTGGGCGGCCAAGTTATAGATCTCCGTGGGCTTTACCTTGTTGATTATCTTCACCAGACTACTGCTGTCAGTCATGTCGCCATAGTGTAATTTCATTCGTCCACCTTTATGAGCCTTTGGATCGGCATAGAGGTGCTCAATACGCGTAGTATTAAAGGTGCTGGCGCGCCTGATAATCCCGTGCACCTCATAGTTCTTTTTCAACAGAAATTCAGCCAAATATGAGCCGTCCTAAAAGTGGGAGTAACCAAGCAAAACAACACGTAAGCGGATAGGTTTGCAGTGCGAACAATTAGCGTGACGTAGTCAATTAGCGACTGCCGACGATTCATTATGTCAAGTGACTCAAATTGGATATGGTACATATGACAAAGCACCCGCTATAAATATTAAATTGTAAAATTACTACTTACCTGCCCCGTAATGCCGGTTATCAACGCCACTTTATTAGCATCCCCAGCGTCACCATTTAAATCTTTGCTGGAATTGCTTAAGCGCGCTTGTTTGCTGCCCGTGGCGCCATCACCAGTGCTCATGTTAATTAACTAGACTTATGTAGCTCTTTTTTTTTTATCAGCGAGACTCTTTTGCCGATCAACCACATAAACAACTTTTATCTATTGTTGTCAGCCGGCTAGAGCTACCAACCAGGCAAAAAGCGCAACCACCGAATTATCTGGCAGCGCCAACACCATAGTTCATTATTGACTCGTGAACTTTATTTTCTTTATTTATACTGTTGATACATAATCAAATAAACTTTAATCAAATAAATACACTTATTTGTTTATTAAAAGATCTAAAGTATATTGTAAATGCTGATTAACCTTTTAATGACCGTTCAGACCAATGTATACCGAGCGTATTTTTCCTAATAAAAAATAATAAATCGTAAATTTCTTCTGAATTTAGTAATATTTCCACATAATCTCCATGTTACTGCTGGTTAAATTATTTATGGCATTAAACATTTAGGCAATCTTTCTTCTGCATCCTATTTGCAACTGGGCACTTAAATCAATCAGCCGCTCTTTGAACCACAACATATGCGGGTGCCGTGCTTCCCGAATTACGTGTCTGCTGCTTTCATTTTCAACGCACAATCAGTGGCCAGCATTGTGATAAGACACAACGCCGACTACCTAACCGAAAGACCATTTGCAGACAGTTAAGTACATCGAGCAAGCGATAAAAGGCCAAATTTCAAACATGACGGATCTAATCAAGAAAGGAGCGCTCTTTTTAATGAGCCCTAAGTGCTATGATAACTACTTCTTGGAGTTCAACTTTTTCGATGGTAAGTTGAGTCATCTTTACGCTTTTTGGATGTCACTTATATTTTTTATGAAATTTCCAGTGCCGTGCTTTAAGGCTTTGCTGAGCAAGGGCCTTGGTTTGGGCATAATAGCCGGCTCTCTGCTGGTGAAAGTGCCGCAGGTTCTGAAAATACTTAGCAATAAGTCTGGAGAGGGCATCAATCTCGTTGGCGTACTGCTGGATCTGCTCGCTATCTCATTCCACATGTCCTATAGCTACATGAATGGCTATCCTTTTAGTGCTTGGGGCGATAATACGTTCCTGGCCCTTCAAACCGTCGCTATTGCAGCGCTTGTGCTGTTATATAGCGGACGGAAATCGCTAGCCATTGCGTTTATTGGAGCTTATGCCAGTTTACTGTACATTCTCAATTCTGGGCTTACGCCCATGAAGGTGCTGCTTACCATACAGAGTCTGAACATTCCTATATTGTTGGTGGGCAAATTGTCGCAGGCTCTGACCAACTATCGCAATGGCTCAACAGGCCAATTGTCGGCGGCTACTGTTATTATGCTGTTCGCCGGATCGCTTGCACGCATCTTCACCTCCATACAGGAGACTGGCGACCAAATGATGATAATTACATTCTGCGCCTCTAGTTTCGCCAATGGTGTCATTCTTGCCCAGTTGATTTACTACTGGAACAAGGAGCCAGCTAGCACCCTCAAAAAAGACGCTGCCAAGCCTAAGAAAGCTAAGAGCAAGAAGGATGATTAAAAAAAATGATTTGTAGTGTGGCTTGGCATTGTGCCAAAGCAGAACTTTTCTCGACAATTTGTAGAACAAATATTGAAACTTTAAATAAATGTATCTTAAGTCAGTCCAAGACCGTCATCTAATCAGCAATCACATCCACCTCCACTCTCGAAGTGCTTCTGCAGTTTGTTTAAAGCACGATAGCGATGAGATATTTTATTTTTCTCCGTCTTGGGTAGCTCCGCATAGGTCTTATCATAGCCAGTGGGCTGAAATATTGGGTCCCAGCCGAAATCACGAGGTCCTCGGGGTTCAACAATGGTACCCTCAGTTATGCCCTGAAATATCTTTGGTTCTGAATCTACGCTCTCGCAGTAGCCAAAAGTGCAAATAGCACGGGCGGATTTATCTTCCCAGCCGCTGAGCAGTCGGTGCAGTCCCTCTGGTTTTAGCTTTTCCAGAAACCATTTGATATAAGGTCCTGGCAGGCCTTCTAGCGCATTAAAGCACAGGGAAGTGTCCTCCACAAGCACGGGTCCGTCTACTTGTCTTGCTGCCTCCTTGCACTTCTTTTCAGCAATTTCATTAATTTCGCCTTGAAGCTCTGGCAAATCCACTTTCTTGGATACAATGGTGCGGGGAAAACTAGGGCCCAATATCGCCACTAATTCCTCCAGCTTTTTAGAATTGCCGGTAACAAAAGTAATTGGTTTCGACATTGTTATCCAATTTACAAATAATTATTGTGTTGGACAGAGCATGGCGCGCTTATCAGCTGGCTGTTCAGAGTTGCCACATATGGCGCGCAAATAATTTTTAAAATTAGGTGCAGCGCAGGGAATTCGTATACATGTAATACTAAAAATTAATTTTTAAAAATAGCTGACTAAAAGCGAAATAAATATTATTATTATATTAAATATGATTTATTATAAATATTTATCCATATCTTTCGTTCGTCACCAGGTACACAATCAACATTTTAAACTTATCACAATCCAACTACAAATTCAAAATAACGTAATGTTAACATGTGTATAACGAAACGCCGAAAATCAAGTCTTTCTTTTTTCATTTGAACAGCCCAATATATACGATATAGCTATTTAATCGATTTTTTCAACCATAGGGAAATATGACAGTACTCTTATCTTTTCAGTTATACTTCTGATAGGCTTATTTTAAATTCGAATTGTTCTTTCGGTTAAACCTAAAAATATCACTTATTTGAACTTTAAAAAGAAACCACTATTTGGGCCTCCAAAAAGAAACCACTATATAGCCCAACCTATATGTTATGAAAAATTTTATATATTAACATTAAGCTCATTCTGATAATTCTTCTTATGCAGGAGAGAATTTAATAATGTACCCACATTTCACAAGTATATTGATTTATATTTGTGCATTTGGAATAGTTACTTGTTCTGACATCGACAATCATTCCTATATTTACGGTCATACTTTTGTATATGCTTTAGCTTTCGTTACCTTTGAAAGCAAATTCATATTCGCCAGTTCCCAAAGAAACTTCCGGAACTAAGCATAATCGCAAGCAAAAATACCTAGCCCAGCATAGATGGAATAAACCTGCTAGTAAAAATATGAGTAAATTGGCGGTTCTAAACTTGTTTTTGGCTGTTGCTTAGTATAATTTATTCAACAGTAGCACTTAAATTTACGGTAGCAAGGATTATTAGAAGTGAATGCGGGAGAACCGACAAAACGTTTAAATAAATAATATAGGCTTGTCCACTGGCAACCTACACACACTACAACACATATGGAGAAAGCTTTACTCGTCCAAGGTCAGATGGACGTTGGCCGAAGGGTGCAGGCCGAGTTCCTTAAGAGTGGCATTGTTGTGCTCCGCTTCTAGGGATTTGCGAGGAAACGCACATATGAGCTTGTAGTTATCCAAGGGTATGTGCTTGTGCGTTTGACTTATGTATTGGCGCAATGTTTGTAGCTTCGTGTCCGATGGCCAGCGCAGTTGGACGACCTCATCGTTGCCTGTGGCATTAAAAAGGCGGAGCTTCAAGGCGGTCAGCTCTTCCTTGCAATTGCCCAACTGGGTCTCATAAGATATCGGCTTTTTCTCCACCTGCTCCTCTTCCTCGACGATTCCCTCGAGACTTTCGCTATCGCTACCATTGTCATCGACACTAATAGTAATTGCCCGACTGGTTCCACCTGCATCTCCATTTTCGTTCATGGAATTTTTTATAGCGAGCGCCAATTGCTCCTCCTCTGTTAGCTCCAGAAGTTTTGAACGCTTTTTGGGAGTTCCTCGTGAACTGGCTGGGGATGAACAAGAGGTTTCAACTTCATTGTTGTCCTCATCCTCCTCCAGCTGTGCTGCAGCGCGTTTCGAGGTACTGGGCGCATCCTCTACGGCGAAATCGCGATGGTCCCGAAGAAATTGCTTCAGATCGGGTAGAACGTTGTCCTGGTTTGGCTGCGGACTGTGCCACATCTCCTCGCCGGTGCGAGGATCTATAACGCACAGATACGGCAATTTAGCGCAGTGGTAGAACGCTACGAAGCGCCGACCCTCTGAAGTATCGTTGTCCACCTGCCAGAGTGTGAATTGGCGGCGCACCAGTTTTTTTAATTCTTTACTTGACCAGACGTCGCGATTCATGACCTGTGACTGAAAGTTGTCGCTCTGCACATTGACCAGCAACCAGCGCAAGCGCTTGGTGGCGTAATCTCTGGCCGCTGTCAGCGTACCTGAGTAGAGTATGTCTGTGGGTGGGCGAAAGAGATCCCCAAGGCGAGATGTGGCGGACGCCGCAAAATTAGGGCGGCTGTGCAAACCCATAGCCTGGCCGGCAACCACCATTTGGGCTGACCGTTCTCTCCTGCGTCTGTGTGCGGTGGGATCCGAGTAGAGGCCTGAAGCCTGTAGTTGTTCCTCCATCAGGGCACCTTCGCGTGCAAAATCCCGTAATGGACAAACTTTGACGCGCTGTGATACGCGTGACAAACGACTGCTTACTGAAGACCCTGTGGGTGGCTCATCGGACGCAAAGAAATTGTCATCTTCGGGCAATATAAGTTGCTCACGAACTGGCGCTATTGGTGCTCGTACGTCATCATCCAGATCCAATGATGGCATGGCTGGAGCGGCGCTAGAAGATGGTACGGCATCGGTAGCTCCATCGCCACTGAAGAAAAGGGCCACGGCAGCCTCAACATCGTTGGCACATGCTCCTAAATAGTGTTTGGCCTCCTCTTCAGTGCAAGCTGTAACTTCAACGACGCGCTCAATCGCGCTCGCCGTATTGCTGGACATAATTCCTTAAGCTGTTTTATTATATTTTCATACGGACGCTCAAACACTACAAATTTGTTAAATTAAAATGTGTCGCACAAACGAAAATGGCTTGGCATGCCATTCACAATGCACAAAGCACATCCAGAATACAGTTGGAGTGATGCCAGACTTTTTTATTGAAAGAATTGCAGAAAATATACTTTAAAAATGTCTGGGCAGGGAAAAACGTACGTTTTTTTCCTTAAACGGAGATTGGGTGACGGCATAGGCAAATTTCAAAAACACTGCGCATTTGTCGAAAAACAGTTAGAAAACTAATTGAAGAATTTTGCTTTAAAGCATTATTGTGTAAAAATAATAATCCAGTTTGAGCAGGGGAGGGAAAGTTCATTGTTTGGTGTCAAAAACAGTCAATTTGCAAAAATATATTTATAGTTGTGACGGAGATTCCAAACTGGAGTGATCGCTATGCATGAATTCAAAACAATGTCAGGGAATTTACGATATACTATACATACTACATATAAGCATAAGTTAAATACTCATAAAATATAACTACTACGATTGTATAGAGGAAAAAAAGTATATTTCATTGGGTTAGATTTGTGAAAAAACCTTCATGATTCTAACTAAACTACTCGTGTAGTAATAGTACCTTGCCATTCGTACAATTTCATTCTATATTAGCCTATACATGTTTGTAATGAAAAGACATTCAATCACTCTATCAGACATTTCAAAATGTTTAGACGCATACAGGTTCTGGACAGACATCCTTTCCATACTCCAATCCACATTTGTAGCACACGGCGGCTGCCTTGCCAGGTGGACAAAACGAAAGCAGCACCTTGGCCTATAGAACTTTACTGTGGGGCCTGTTTGAACTCTGTGCTGAGATTTATCGAGTTCCTACATATGTACATACAAACATATGTATATGTATCAGTGTTATCAGCATAACTTAATATTTTCCTGGAGTAACATTCTTCTTTAAAACGTTAAACGGTTGTCGCTTTTATGGTTTCCAGTTTGGGCGTGCTTTTTGACAATATGCCTTTTTTTGGAATACCACGGAGATATGACACCGGAGCTATGTCCTTTTTACCGCATTTTCTATAGACTGCATTGGTTTTGTACCTTTTCGTAGGGATTTTGGTGATGCAGGATTTTTAGTAACCAATCCCATAATCCTCATGTTGCACCCCTTATGAGTGGTCGATCATGTCTATATAGTACATCTTCTGCATACAATTTTATTTTTCTTTTCAGACTTAAAATGTTCTATCAAGAACTTGCTATCAGAAAACATTTCAAAATCTCTTCGCCCCGTCTTTAACGACCATTTTGTAATGAAAATGCCATTCACAAGGACAAGGCAGTTTCAGAACAACTCGAGAGCTGCCACAATATTTTTTGCCAGCACTACTGCTTAGGGCATCGAACAGACGGTATCGATGCATTGCGACGCAAAGACAGCAGCAGTGCAGATAAGTTTTGCTAGTTTAGTTATATCTTCAAAAATTATGACTAATAAGTGCGTTGGCAAAGCATCTACGCCCAGAGTGATCGGAAATATGCAATACAATACGTCGTAAATCGTATCAACTTGTGTGTGTACGCGCTGTCCTAAATTAAATTCCCAATTAGATTTTCCGTGCCGTATGCGTGCGTATGTAGGTGTGTGTTTGCAAGTGTATGCAAAACGAATACCAATACAACAACAAAGCTGAAGTGCATTACGATTATGGCCATTAAAAGTTGTGCTGAACGCGTGAAATAGCTGTGCGAACTTTTTCTTTTTCAATTGGGAATTCGACACAGGCTGCATCATCGATCATTCTTGTTGCTGTTGTTGGTGCTGCAAGCGGAGGAGCAAGACAGCTGAAAATGGTCTCGCTGATAAAAAATCAACTGCTCAAGCATTTAAGCATGTAAGTGGGAAAAGCAAGCATTCTTATTCATCCATTACGGCCAACAGGCTCTAATCTAATAAGCGTGAAATTCAATTAAGAAAGTATGTCAATTACGGTGGCAGCCAACTCGTTAGAATATCCAAAGGCGCTCCAAAGGCTATGGAGTATGAAATTGATTTTTCCCAACAGTCGTGTTCCCGCTATCGGCCGTTTCAATGTCGCCGTGTCGTCTGTATGTACATACATATGTACATACTTACATATGTTTGTATGTATACGTATGCGGCTTGCAGCTTCCACCCGCCCCAAACTGGCATTTTCATCATCGTAATCATTATTATGGCATTCACCTGTCGTCACAAGTTTCTAAAAGCGCCCTAAATCGCACGCTAAAGTTTGCGCGGCAATCCCCGCTTCGCTTTTATGTCTTCTTTATCGCTAACAAGCAGGTAAGACAGACAGGGCGGCAGGCAGCCCAGTTGTGGGTGGCAATGTGGGCTGCTAGACATTCAGTAAACAAGGCTAATTTGTTGCTTCAGTAGTCACCCTAAAGACTATACCCAGCTGTTGGTAACCTTATTATTGTCGTGCACGCCCGTGTAACAAGTGGATTGGCGTGTTCACTTTTAGGCGAACACACGCACACCTTTTACACTAATAATTGTATGTATAGATTCAAACCGCCCTTAACAGACGCCCGAGATATCAGTTATGATTATTTGTATTTTTCTCAGTGGTTGTTGTTGATGTGTAGTAAAAACATGTTCAACTTGAAATAATATTCACGTGCCTGCAGGCCAAACCGCTTCATGCGGTATATTTCATTATTAGCCGTCTGTTAAAAAAAAGAAAGAATTCGTTTCAACACATGTACAAACTTATATAAATTCTTGTATCAATAAGAAATACATATTTTTTTAATACAGTCCTGCACCTTGTGCAAACAAAGGCATTTATATACCTTTCCCTTTATTTACACTGTTAAGTAAATAAATGAATACTGCTTTAGCCGAAACTTGCGAAAGCACCATGGGTCAAAATTGAATATAATTAAAAAAAAAAATTGCACTTAATTCAATCAATTGTTGCAACAAATCAGCTTAAACCATTTCCTTCTTTATTTAAAAAAAAAAACTATTTAGAATTAATTTACACCTATAGAAGATATAATTTTGCGATTATGCAAAATTTTAATTATAATTAGAGAACAAGTTGGCAGTTGGTCTACTATTTAACTGTCCATTATTAAAAGAGTTTACTCCCTTTATCCTTATATGTATTTGTATTTTCTTTGTTTAGTCTTTTTTGTGTGTGCCTCATGCGAACTTCCGCGCAATTAAGCTGCAAACAAGACCTTTTCAGCGACTTTGAAAAGACCGACGTGTAAATTCAAACAAACTTCTTTGCTCTCCTGCTCAAAAGTTCTAAACTGCCTGTCTGCCTGCCTGCCTGCCACTCAGGAAAATAAAAGGCTTTTAAGTACCAAGTTGTTGTGGCGACACAAGTTTCAATAAAACGAACTTTTCGAGGCACAAGCAGTAGCAATTGGATGGTTTAAATGGCATCTGCTACGCACAGGCGAACTCGATCAATATTCAGATTTAAATTATGCATGAGGTGCCCCCCTCTATGAGAAGGCCATTATGTGTGCGTGTGCTTGACATCTTCTCGTTGGGGAAAATGGGTCAATTGATGCCAACAGACAGGCCGCCGGCGGCGCCACTTGTTGCGGCAAATGAGAAAAGACATGTGCATCGAGGCGGAAATAATTGTATTAGACCACGGCAAATGATAAAATGCTGACACAGTCTCCTTTCTCCCCTTCCACAGATACACGAAGAACCTCTCCTCGGACAAAATCAATTTGAGCACCTTCCGTGGAGAGGGTGAGCTCTCAAACCTAGAGTTGGATGAGCGTGTGCTCACAGAGCTGTTGGAATTGCCCAGCTGGCTGAGACTGACATCTGCTTGGTGCAATCATGTATCCTTTCGCATTAGCTGGACCAAACTAAAAAGCGTGCCCATCACATTGGTGAGTAAAAGCTTAAGCTGCCTTGATAATCTGTAGCTAATCTCTAATCATATATCCCATAGACACTCGACGAGGTGCGTATCACTGTTGAAACGTGCAATCCCACATCCCGGGATGCTGGCGGCGGGGGAGGCGGCGGGCCCGCAGCTGCTGCCGCACTGCCTCAAGTGCCTCAGGGTAAATATAGCTTCATACACAAGGTGGTCGATGGCATCACCATTGTGGTTAACACGGTAAATGTGAATTTTGTGAGTGCTGCGTTCACCGCTTCGGTGCAAATGTCACGTATACGCGTCGAATCAAAAACACCCAAGTGGATCAATGCAGATCTGCGTCTGACACGGCTTAAGGACGCACAAAAAGGCATCATACTGATATTTAAGGAGCTTTCCTGGCAAACTGTACGCATAGAGGCCAGTTCAACGCAGGATAAGTCGTTGACGCCTCTGCGCCTGCTAACAAACCATGCCCGCTGTCGCATTACCATACGAAAACGTCTTGTAGACTGTTCGCTACTCGCATCTCGTCTGGTGCTCATCTTGGATGATCTACTATGGGTGCTGACCGATTCGCAGCTGAAGGCAGCGTTGCATTTTGTGGACTCGCTATCGGGCCTTATCAAAGCAGCCACACATGCCACACATAAGTCAAAGGCAGCGCGCAAAATGGAGGTACGTAAGACGGCATAGTCTTTTAAGTGAAATATTCATTTTTCGAATTTGCAGACGTTGCCCGAGTATCAGGCACAGCAAGCGCAACAACAGAACCGTCTTTCCGAATCGGTACATACGACGACCGCCCAACGCATGTTTAACGCCTTTGATGTGCGTGAAACGTCGTATCATTTCTTTAGTCAACGCATTGATCTGCACTTATGTGATGATGAGGGCGACGGTCGTTCTAGCTATCCGGAGCTCGATAAAGGTGGTGCCTTGCAAGTTTCTGTAACTGCCTTTCAAGTGGACTACTATCCCTATCATTTGGCCAAATCTGATCGCTCGCATTGGGCTAAATATAAGGAGGCGTCAGTGGCGCCTGCGTTGTGGCTTAAGGAATCGCTGAATGCCTTTCGCGAGGCCGTCTTGAATTTAAGCCAGCCCAATCGTCCGGCTACCCATGCGCCCCTCGAACGTAGCACACCCGCCTCGCCTATCATGCTGAACGCCAGTGCCCTGAGTTCGCAGTTGGGGGCAGGCAATGGAATTGCTATTGGCTCCAATGGTAGCAATACGCCCACGGCAGTTGCTGGATCGGGCTCTGGCTCGGGGTCTGGCAGCAGTCAGCTATCGCAGGCGGCTCAGCAGCGCAGTACACTTGAAAATTTGGGCAAATTGATGAGTGCGTGTGTCATATTGAGGATTGAGGACTTTACCTTGTACCGTGTGACCACATCGGGAAAGAAACAAATGCCCAAAGAGTTTGTATCAGGTATGCAGATTCTACAGTTTTCTTCCCCACAGTTTTCTTATCACATGCAGCTACACGTGCGAGTTACATAAACATGTATAAATGCATTTACACTCATTATACTCGGTTGAATTATCGTGCGATCTAGACAGACCTGAATAAAAACAAATCAAAATAAATTTTTATAAATTTAATCATATTGTTCAGTGCTTGATCAACAAACACATACGAACTCGCAATACATCACTGATACAAATGTACGTAACGTACAAATTTATTTAAAATAATCCCCAATACATATGTATAAAAAGACATTTAGAATGTAATTCAGGTTAGTTATAAAACTAGTTTTTGTGTTACAAAACTAGGGCATATGGCTTGCGTTACTATTCACGCTTTCCAAATTTGAATTTCATCATTGAATTAATGAAACCAAATTTCATAAAATGTAACTAAATAATTCTATAATTCTTCGTGAAATGGTTTTGACGCCTATTGACAAATACGTATTCATATAAAGATATCATTAAATCAGCTGTTGGTGTTAAAGGTGAAGACGGTTAGGTGCGTCGATGAGAAGGGCTTTGTAGGGTGCATGATTGAGAGTACATGACTTAAATGACTACATAATGTTATAGTCTCCATATAGTTTTAGATTTAACACTAGTAAATATATATACACACCAGAAAATACAAAATTTAAATAAGTATATACATATGTACACGTGTACAATTAATTCAACTTTTTTAAACATTTTTGTATTTATGTAATCTAACCACATTAATCAACATTTCATATGTAACATGCTAATATGCTTGTCATTTGTAAAAACTGCTTTTGTCGTTGTCGTCCTTAATGTAGCACAACATAAAAGGAAGAGCAAATCCTCAGGTGAATATCACGAGTTCACTTCGTGCGCCATTTGTAGCTTTCCGCAACAAGTTAATGCTTATTATTTATAATCCCTAACTCTTTCACTTACAGGTGATAAGGATCGCTATTCGTTTCCAGCAGATATGCCCATCGTTCATGCCGAATTCACTTACTTTTATTATCCCGGTGACTTCATCTTTCCACGTGCGTGAGCGATTGCTTCTATTAGTTGAATTTTCCGCCTACTAATGGTTTCATTTCAGTGCCGCCCTCAAAAGTTTTTGTGCACATTAACCCGCTGCAGGTTCATTTTGATCTCAGCTCCATATTGTGGCTGAACTCCTTTGGCCTAAATCTACACGAGAGCTTATTGCGCACCAGCGTCGGATCTCAGACCACATTACAGCCGCCTCATAGCGCGAGGGGCTCAATCGCTTCCAATGGTTCCAATGGCACACAATTACCCTCAACAGCGGCTTTAAACGTTGAGCAGGAGCCTAATCTCATGTACATGGACGTAAAGGTCGAGGCTATAATGCCGCGTGTGATTATTGAGGCAGCCGTCGATGCTCCCAATCAGAAGGACCGCCCGAAAACAATGCAAATACAAATCTCAAGGTTTGCCTTGACAAACATTCGCGAAATGGGTTCGTCACGTGCCGATCTAGCTCAGGCACTGCACTCACTGCAGGAGGGATCTTTGGTCTTTGGCTCCGGTTTTCCCTCCGTTGAGGGCGATATGTGCATTGTTACGGATCGGATTCTTGCGCATGTGGCTGCTTCGGATGTACAAATGATGTCGCCGGCGCCTGGCATATCCTCAGCTTCCATGTCGCCAACGCAGACGACTATGCCGCGTTCCGCCTCAACACAGTACCTCTCCCGCTACGCCATGTGGTCAGAGCCGCGCGATGTGTGGTGCATAAAGCTCGATCCCGTGTGGGTGGACTTTTTGGGCGCCCGTTCGCTGGGGCCCAACAAGTCCATACCATTTGTGGATGCGGTGCCCATTACATTGTGGCTGCATGCGGGCACGCATGAGGCGCAGCTGGATTTGGGAGCTGGCAGCACGGCGGGCGCACACATGGAAAGCATGGGTCTCGAACCTTTGGCCACGTTGCCGCCGTTGCCGCGCAATCCGTTTCTAAGCGACGAGGACGTAAGAGTGTTAGAGACCACGGATGCCGAAAGCCCAAAAGTAGCACCTGCGGAGCGAACTGCCGACGTCCATGCCATTGCCCATATTTCGAATCTGGTCAGCCTGCAAATCGACCATTATCAACTGTTGTTCCTGCTGCGTCTTGCCGAGGAGTTCAATGAAATGTCAACGTTTCTAAACCTCGATGCCGAACGCATTCTGCACAAGGTGGGCAGCAGAGCCTGATCTTTTAACGTCGAAACTTAATTGACAAATATGTCCTACCCTCTTTCGCAGCAAAATCAACAAAAGTCCATTATTATTGGCTGTGTTGTGCCTCAAATCGAAATCACGCTCGTGATGCCGTCCCCAACACCTGGTAAGGAATCAAGTGGTGGTGATGCTGAAAGTGTCTTACCCGATTCAGCTAGTTTGGGTGATGATTTACACATGAATAGTAAGAATTCTTTTTCTTTTGTTGTCTTTCCTTAAGATCTTTAGTTTTAAAATTAACAGAACTAACTGAATAATATAACTAAATGCAATTGACTTCAAGCTGGTCGTGCATTTCGTTGCTCTACTGTAACCACACAAACACACACACCGAACTACTTGTTATTATAATGCCACACGTACTCGTAGTTGTCACCGGGTAGTTTGTCAAACAAAGCTCTAGACGTAGCAGAGGGCGTAGGTCCACTTATTAATCAATATGCTGTAATTATGCTTTAACTTACATATCAAATTATCCAATAACCCGGATTTGGGTCCTTAAATCCAATAATCCTGTAAATCCTAAAACTAATCTCGCATGTTTTTGTCTAAACTAACAACCAAGGTATGCCAGCAAACTCAAAAACTGAATAAGTATTGCAAGCTTTCAAGAGAGTTTACATGCTTGGGTTTAGAGTTTAAAGGAACACCTTTTAATATTTAAAGTACCTTCCTTAACTAATTTTGCCAAATAAACGTAATCACTTTTTACATTGGAAAAACACTATAGCTAACCTTTGCTTCACAGGTGGGAATATAACGTGGCCTACGCCACCGCCCTTGGATCAATTGAAAAGCAATACGTTTGGCAGCGTAGAGACACCATCACCCGTTACCAATGATCCACCTTTTGACAGTGGTATACACATTTCCAATCCAAACACCCATGGGTAAGCAGCAAATTTCTAATATTAAACGATCGCTGATCCACATTTTTTTCATAGCTACAACGTACAAATACAAAGCACACCCACCGTGGCTTCCTCCACGCCCAGTCAAGGCTCCAGGCCCGATACTGGGATCTATACACAATCCGTTTCTTCTGCTTCGAAGAGCGCCAAGTCAATACAACGCTCCAGCGGTGGCTCTGGCGATAATGCGCCCAGCATAACAAAGGAAATCAACTCAGGACTAATGTCTATGAAGAAGGGCTTCTCCAATTTCATGACTTCCATAGACTCGGCCATCAAATCGGGCACGCCGAACGATGATGCCAGCGACACGTTTTCCATTCAAAGTGACATTAGTTCGGATTCGGAGAATTTTGCAATTGTGATGGGCGATGATAAGACCATGGACTGTATGGATGTAATGTTTCGCCTTAATCCCTTCACCAACGATAGCAATCTAAAGGCTTCGCCCGTCGAGGTCGCCAGCGAAGTGTACGAGGAGCCCACCAGCTACAAAACCAACCTATCCTCGCCATCAGAGCCTTCAGAAGCAAGCACCTGGCGTCGCCGCGATCTTGTCTCCATGGCTACCTTTAGGTTACATACAAAAGAGACTATTAATTTTGGAATCAAATAATAATTTTTACTTTCAGATTGACAACCGTCGAGCTGATACGCCAACAGGAGGGCGGAAAGTCTTCGGTGCGTTTGCAGGTGGCTGCCGTTTCCTGCGACGAATGTGGTGCCATTCCCTGGGATGAGCTCCAGGTAAGAATTAGATGCTTTTTGTAGCTTCCAACTTTTTTAGCTTCAGTTCATTTGTGTTCCAATTATTTTGTTTTGTTAAAAAAAAAAAACAACAAAGAAATCCCTTTTAGTTTTTCTGTTATGTGTATTTTATGTTTTATTAAATTTTGGAATATTTTATTCTATAACTTTTGCCAAAAGGAAATTAAATGTTACATAACTTTCTGCATGTTTCGATAACTTTTATCTAAACATTTTACACCTTAAACGATTTTAATTAAAGTTTTTTATTTGACACAACGTTGCTGTAATATATTTAACTTCTCATAATCATTTCTCATTATATTTTCTCTCTTTTCTCTCTTGGTAAAAATATATAATCAAACAAATCGATCTCAATGTGTGCTAAACAAAACAAAAACCACAATATGTTGTGCTCTCTACGTTTAAATTACTCTACAACTTGTAAATTTTTATTGAACCAAATCAACGACACCGATACAATATCAACTACAAAAACCACAACAACGACAACCACAAAACGTGACTCTTAAATTTGTTAACACATACACCACAACAACAACAACAACAAACAATTTTCTACAACAATACAGATCGCGCATCAAGCGAACAAGGTATTAAAAAAAACAACAAACTATTTTTCTTCATTAACTGCTAAATTCTTATTTTTTAAAAAGTATTCATTTTTATTTTCTGCTGTTTTGTAAATACTGATTTACTAAAATAACAATTTTCCTTATTATTTATGCTGGTGTTTTGGTAATTTTGATTTGAATTGAAAAACTTTGTAGTTGTTCTGGGCCTGCTTGCCAAAGCTCGCGTTTTGGTTCCATTTTTGCCAATAGTTTGTAGTAGTCAAGTTATTAAAATAAAATAAATAATGCTGATTTATATGGAATTCAAATAAGCAACTACTCGTATGTTAACTCATATAGTTTCCAGTTGCGCCAATGCGCCAATTATTTTCGTTGGTTTGTAGAGATTCGGAAGAACTTTTGCCGGATTTGACGTTTGTTAAATGACAATTTTGTTGAAAAAGGTTATGATTATTGAACATTTTTGAGCATGCCTCATACAATCTTCAAAAAATGTTGCCAGCAATTAAGGCGGGCCTTTGTTGAAATATGTTAGCATTTTATAGTTGCCATAGCGTGTTCATTTAATTTTCAGCATTTGTATGTTTATTCATATGTTTGTTATTTTTCTTTCCTTTGCTTATTGCTGAATTATTTGCAAATTGGCTTGTTCCTATATGAGTTGTTTTATAAAGTACATTGGCATCGGGCATCTGGCATCTGCAGCTGTCGATTGTCATAGCCAACACAAAACTAGGCATCTCAGAACAACAAGAAGAACCAGTACAACAGTAACTAACACATTCACAAGTACGATACAATAACAACAATAATAACCACATCAAGTAGTACAAGCTTAACAATTGGTGCTGCTAAGTGAAGTAGTGACTAACTAACTAAAACGAAGGCACGAGCGCCGCAAACTCAACACAAAGGCCGCATACTAAATTTATCCGCTCTTAAATCCCATCTATGTCTTTCGTACCTCTTAGCCACACGAACATTCTAACTCCGTAATGCCCACACACATCAGTACAATCAATGCTCACACATCTCACCAGATATGGACATGAAACAGGAATTTATGAAATACATAAAATGAAATAATAATAATAAAAATAAAAATGAAATAAATAATACATGATTTAATTCTGTTTTTACACGGTAGATTGGTTCCAGTAAAAACCGTGTAAAAAAGACATTGATCATATGCAAAAATAGGTGATTGGTTCCTTATCTCTAAAACTTATTAAGCTCAGTGAAAAACCACGATATATGTATATTTATTTTATTCAATCACTTATATAATGTGAATAACGATCCATATAAGAATGGTTTCTAACTGTTTGCCAGCTGTGTGTGTTTTCATTTATTTATTTTGTGATTTTTTTATTTGTGGAAGGAATACCAATTGTATTTAATTTTAGTTTTCAAGCCGAGCAGGACCCCCTTCTTTGTTTACTTTTAGAACATATGTCCAAGTCTGCAATATGGATATATATTATAAGTTAGTTATTACGTTCAGTTGGAATCTTGAAGGGTGTGTTTCAATTTGTAATTAGTTAGGGATGCAATTACAGACATATAGTATGTATTTGAAAATTTGAATTGATTGCGAATATGAAGAATAAGGTCTGGGGGAAAATATATATTTACATGGACCTATGCACATATGCCAGTTATTACGCCCTCTGCAGTCCAAAAACCCATTTGTGGAATAGCCTTCACAAGCAATGTCTTTTGTGGTCCATTTCGGATAACATTTTGGATAACAAATTCTTTGATTACTTAAGGGGTTGTTCATCAACAAAACACAGCCGCAAATATGTCAGCAATGAAGAAAATTGTGCGAAATTTGACGCAGTAATCAGTAAAAATAAAAAGATTAGTCTATATCGAAACACCCGCTCGGTTTCAGGGCATAATTTCGGGTCATATTTGTACACAGCAATATGTCTACAATGCACTTGGTTTTTCCGTAATACGACTCGAAATCTCCCATCTGTTATCATGTCCATATCGAGTTCACACTCACTCACACGAAAGCATGTATGTGTTTGGCGCTTTGCATGACGTTCGTTGCTCGATTATTCAATGTCGTTCAGCTTGTTACTAATTATGGTTCACCCGTTAATTTTTTCAACAATTAATGCTTTCATTGAAAACAACCTTGCAGAACAAATTTGGGGCGCGTTGTAAAGCTTGGAACTTGGCACCTTACAATCCGGAAGCGCCGCCCTGCATCCGTCTACGACTAGAGGAAACATTGAATATGCCCAAGAATGTTGAGGGCGTCATTGATCGCAAGCGCATACAGAGGTAAGATTTGTGATAAAACAAGAAACGAACTCTTTTAAATAACAATTCAACAGAATAGTCATATTATAGACGATGCTTCAATTTGCAATTTTAGAATGGTAATTTTTAACGTAATTTATTTATGTTCGCTAACTGATTTATTTGAGTAAAATTAGTGCACATGCGAATCTTTTGGATGGCATAGGAAAATTAATATATAGGCTAAAGAAAGTATTGAAAAATTAGTGCTAAACTATTCCGAAGCTTTTGTTTTAACAACTACCATAAATATATGAAAAATGTGAAATAAATTTAAAGTCTGAAGCCATTTTAGAAGAATACGAATAAAAATAGTAAAATATAAGAATAAATTGTCATCTTAAGCTGCTATAAAAAATCCTGTGATTGGAATTTGATTTCTTAAGCATCGTAATCAATTTTTTTTTATAATTTTTCAAAAATGAAACGAAAATTGTTATTGCTTTCAAAAAGATTCAGAAGTTATAACTAATCTAGGAACTAAACGGTTTTAATATTGTATTATTATTATTATTTTTGTTGCATCAAGGTATGATGTGCTGTATAATGCTTTTTTCTTTTAGCTGGTTTACACACCATGCCCAAATACGTGTTAAGGACATCAATCTGGATCTTTCCATGAGTACGGTCATTGGTTTGGGGGATTTGGCAGAAGATGAGGTTATCTCAACGCCCATGCCCGTCACGGCAAGTTCTCACCTTCTCAACTCAATTTGTTTACTGGCTTACCTGTTGTTACCTTTTATAGATCAATCTGGAGAATGTTCGCATCAATTTGCTCGAAGATCGCCCGCCTGTTAATATTACCTCACCGGGTCCAGTGCCTATTAATCTATGCATTGGTCGCATGCGCATAGAGCGTGACAAGAGCGGCCTTCTTAACATACAGCCCATAGGTTTGTAGATGCCACAATAATATGTAAAAACTGTTAACATTTTGTATATATTTCCCGATAATTATCAGACACCAATATGAGTGCTGAGCAAAATTATGCTCTGGGCAACGCCTTGTTTGGTGCGCCACGTGATCGCGATCGCGAGGTCCTGTCCATGCAGTTGGTTATGCAGCAAATGAAGCTTGACAATGAGCAGTTGCGAAAGCAGTTGGTGGACTCAAAAGTCAACACAGAAAGTTATAGGTAAGCTTAACTTATACTTCGTGCTGTGTAAGTGTATCGACTCTATTGGAGGATTACTGTTTACAGGCAAAAAACGAAGCAGGAGACAGATGTGCTGCGTTCTTATTTACAGTCCGCCCAGGATGATATCAGCATATTGCTGGAGGAGAAGAAAGCTTTGCTGGATACCATACGGTCTTTACAGGTGCGCTGAGCAAACAAAACAATTATTATTTATTGAGTAGTACTTTTGCAACACAACTCTTGTCTCACTATCTAAATTCTATGTACACTCTTCTCGATGTTGTTGTCGTTTGTTTTTGTTAACTATTTACTCAAACGCGCAACCACACACTTAACTTCTTAACTTGACTCTTGTGCGTTCCTTTTGCGTTTAAAGTTAAAACACGTTAGCCGTCTTAACAATACTACACATACTTCCAATAATAATGCAAGGACTAAAGGTCAGTTTTGCAACATGCACGCTCGTTCCTTACCCACACTCAAATACACTCACATAGTTTCTCATAAAGCATGCTCTGTTTTAAAATCTTGACTTTTCGATCATATTAAACCTATTTTTGGCTTCCCGCCACAGGTACAGCTGACATCATCGAATATGGGTAAAAAGAATGATGGCAGCAGATAGCACAACTGCATGGACTGCATACAATGCTGTGGCGAGAACAACAATGCCTAGGCGGTGTATAATTGACAGTCAAAACATCAACAACAACAACAGAAGCAAAAAAACAAAAGGAAATCCTAGAGACGTCTCCGACACACATCTTTCGCTTTCATCATCTCTGTGTTGAGTTTTGCAGAAGACTGAACCTTATTGGACAATTTTCACGTTGCCGTTCGTTATTTTTACTTACTGTTACATAATTATATATACAAGATTCGGTTTTATCCAAAAGCTGGAATGTCTATTACTGTCCCAAAGAGTGTTTTTATGGCTTTAAAGTGCTTGAATTTTTATGTTATTTTTAAAAGCGGCACGCCAATTGTTTTTATTACACACAATTTTTTTATGTAATTTTTTATAGCTGAAACTTTTTAAATTGTATATTGTTAATTAATTGAATTAAACAATAACAATCACAGCAAGAGTAAGAGAGCAAGAACAAAACTACAGAACTATATAAAGTCATGCCACATTTTTTCTAACGTGTGTATATGTATGTACATTAACTACTATGTATTATGTAATTTGTCATACCTTGATATTAAACTTACTCAGCGTTATGAAATTGATATTGTGCATTAACGAAATTTCAATAGATATTGAAAAACATATTGTTGTGATTAATGATCATATCAAACTGAATTCTAGTAATTATAAATTATGTATTGCTGCGTCTTGAAACAGTTGAAACTTCCTATGTGCTAGCAAACCATTTGGCCAAATTAATTGAAACATTGAATAACTAGTATTGGCATTCGATCTTATACATATGCATAACTAAAAGTTATTATACATTGTATTATCCTATTCATAACACTCCATCATTCCAAATTGATCATCATCGTTTCTACTTAAACATGCCTATGTGTGTATTACATACTATACATTATAAATATGTACATACATGCCGTATGTATAAAACGGTAATCAAAATGTTTGTACCAAACTAAGCAAAACTTAAACTAAATGCTAAACAAAAGTACCATGTTAAAAATCAAACTCAAGTCGTAAACTCGTATACAAATTTTTAAATTCAAAGTTTTCATATTTGAAATTGAAGTCATATATACTATATATGTATATTATTATATGTATACAATTATAACTACAGAAACATACACGTTCGCTGCTTACTAATGTACTACAAAGTTCGTTTTGTGTGTGCGTTTGTTTTATAACACATATGTATTTGCATAATTAGTAAAAGCAAAGAGTATTGATTGTTATACGTATATAAAAAGTTTTAATCTGTAGTTAGGTAAACTGAAGAATTAATTGAAGCCATTTATGAAATAAAACAAGAAATACTGTGTTTTTTTTGGGGGGGTTTTAATTTTTTAAATGATTATAACAATATTTAACTAGACGACGGGCAGTGGGTCCTTCTGACTTTTTTCGTTGCAAAAATCATATCTCCTGAACGGATTAAGTAATTTTGATCAAACAAATTTTATTTTAAAGATAAATTCTTAAGCTTTAAACATTATTGCACATTGTGCTATGATTTCTAGGAGCTGCACAATATGTACTCTAATTTGGATTTTATTCCCCGTTCATTACTTGCCTAAAACACTGATCAATTTTTTTTGCAAGGCTGTTTCTGGAACCAATGTACCGTGTAAAAACAGAATTAGGTGTATTTATACAACTATATTTTTAGAATTTCTTTTTCCTCGAGTAGTGGACTTCTTTTAACATAAATCCAATGAGTAGGCACTAATATTATTATTGATTGCGAAAAATTGAGTATATCGTTGCGCACTAAAAAAAGAGTTAAGTTCGAGTGCATATACATATGTATGTATCTCCTAAACTTTAATTCCGATTTATTTGAGAGTATGATTTTCCTAATCCATGGGAAATTATGAAATGTTTGATGGTCGCAAGCCATGGGGCCTAAGGCCCCACAGTGCGACGTAGAGGAATGTAATTAAATCTTTTGATTCCGCGAAGTATGTACTATAAATAGTTATTATACGAATTAGATCGTGTATCTATTCACCTACCTAAAGTCAAGCAGTGTGTGGTTGTGCATTTAGCGCAGGGAAAGCAGTGCATAGTCTGCATTAATTTCACTGCCGACTGCCTTACCCATCTAGCCGCCACGCATTTGTTAGGCATATTAAAGCAGTGCATATGCAGAAATGCAGTGCGACGCCGGATACCGCTTCCACAAACTAACGCTAACAAACATAGATTTCAATTTTAAAAGATCGCTTGTGGCCATCCTTATGCAAACAAACAAACCAAACAATTCAAATAAATTGCAATATAAAGGCCGGAACAGGCAACGGCAGCAAAATAATGGCAAGGACAACAAAGTGCCATAAACACGGTGAAATTGTTGTAGGCTCTAAACCAAAATTGAATTTGCGGTTTTTTGAATACAAGTGACTAAATATTTATGTGTGTGTGTGTGTGTGTGTGTGTTTGCTTCAAGTCTGTGAGTGGCACAGTTGGTTCGACAAGTGCAACGTGAACCGCAGCAGGTAAATAACCACAATGGTAGACAGTGACAAATACACCGTAAATTAAGTTACAATGCGGTCAAGAAATGTGGCCCCCGCACGAAACACTAAAAAAAGCAAGCTACGTATGCAGTCAGAAAATGAACAGTCCGTATCCGGAATCGAGTTTTATCTGATGCGAGTATATAGTGCACCCCTCCTACAAAATGTTATTCGATATTGCGTTACGTTCCGTTCCGTTCCGTTAATGTAGCATCGCCTTTTGATGCCTGAAATTGGTTACATTACGCCAAAATCAAGCACACGCACACACAGTCACATCAAACTCATCAACGGCAGCCTCCGACATATGTATGTTGAGCTGCCAGTTTGCGCCTGGAAATGATGTGGTTAGTTGTCGTGCCACTGCTGTAGGGGGTCGGATGACAATGAACTGCCACTGCCGGTCCGGCTTGACAACTTTCGGCCTGGTCCTGCCCATGCCCATGCACGTTAAAGTTGGTCAACTACTGGTCGGTCAGTAGCAGTGGACTAGTAGGTCAGTTAGCCGATGGCACATGGTCGCTATGTTTAAATGAAACGCTGCCATCGAGAACGTCAGCAATTTGCAGCGGCATGTTGGACAACTTCTACGCACATTTGTATGTACAGGATATGGGATACATGGGACATGTTTGCGTGGTTTGCTGTCCAGCTGGACTCGTTGACAGTGCCAAGTTTTGCGGTGAAACTCTTGTTTCTGTTATTGTTCCTCACCAGTGTAGATTTAGTTTTCAATTAAAAGTGGTAAATTCGTACTTGGGCAATTAATACTGTTTATGGAATCGTTCATTTATTTACAAAAGCTATAGTCAATAGGGTCGAACGAATAGTGAGCTATTATGTGCCCGTCTGCATGAATGATCAGGAGAAAAACCAAACTTAATTGCTAATATACTAGTGACTGCAAAGCCGGGTAATACAGGTAAGATAGTAAGGATATTATCATGCCCCAAGGCTGAAGGCAGGTGAAGACGTAAATATATAAAGTATACGCCTGAAATGATTGTGTTTAATAATTATTCCCCAACTGTAGAAAATCAAAGTGTTAATCCATGTAAAATAAGACAATTTATATTTATTTATTTATTTAGCTTGCCTTCTGCCAATTTCTGGATCATACTTAGGGTTTCCTAGTTTATACGGTTTTTGTATATATTGTTTTCCTATGTCGATACTCAATAAATATAAATGAATAAATAAACGAATAAACAAATACACAAATAAATAAATAAATAAATACAAAATAAATGAATACATGAATAAATAAATGAATTAAAGAATACATGAATAAATAAATAAATGAAGAAATGAATAAATAAATAAATGAATATATTCATATATATGAATAAATGAATAAATGAATAAATGAATAAATGTATAAATGAATAAATAAATAAATGAATAAATAAATAAATGAATCTGTATAGATGAACACTTGTAATCATATTTCAACTGATTTTAAAAAACTCCCAAAAACTCAATCTTATTCGAATGTTAAATTAAATTGATGTATATTAATTCGTAAAAAATATATTATAGTATGTAATATATTTTTTATAATTTTGATATTTCCTTATTTATAATATACAGAATGTTATCCCCATCGTGTCATCGTGTCATCATACTTAATAATACTTATCGTACTTACATTTTGTACATGTTTTTATTGCAATTGAAAAACTATTTCCCATTAATTTCTTCAAAATCGGCTTTAAACTGAATACTTTGTAATCGCATCCAAATAAACTAAATTAAAGTTTCACCTCCATGACTCCTCTAATGCTGTTTCTTGTCAACAAGCAAAGTAAATAAATTGAAATTTGCGTGCAATATATATTATGTAAATAAAGGAAACTCTTGTACGTACGAGTATCTCGGAATTTTATAACGAATCGATAGATTATGCCAGAGCTGTTTAATGGCATTGGAGTATGTATTTATTTGCACAATGCGATGCAATCAGCTATAGAGCTTATCAAATATATTTATGACAATATAAAGAGCCTTCGCAAATAATAGCACAAAATTTTAATAAAATTTGAAATGACAAAAAGGAAGAGGCATTTAGTACTTAGGCGGTTCAATTGAAAGGCGGTCTCCATAGCAAACAAACGGCTGCAGTCAGCAAAGTTGGCTGCAGTTTTGCTAAGCTGCTGACAAGTTTAAATGCTTTATCAATAAGCTGCACTTAACTGCACACACAAGCAATAAATTTAATAAGTTATGCATGGGTCGGGGCCAAACGCATGGTAAGGGTTAGACAGCAGGACAAGTGCGATGCAATGCAGCTAAAGTTTATGGCCAAGTTTGCGAATGGCTGAGAGAATTTGTGCAAAAAGTCCAACGTTCTAATGACTTGGGTGGTAGCAATTAGGCCCAAATTTATGACAACTTCAACAAAATTCAAAATGTTGCAATCGATGCTCTTTCAAAGCTGCACAAGGGGGTCACCAAATGCTTGGTTAATCCGTTTTACTGTGCTATAACATTTTAAAACGGCAACAACAATCTACAACCGGGGGTACCATCTTACAAGTATATATGGCATATATTCAACCGTATAAACAAAGAAAGGGTCATTTATCAAGGACAGGCCAACTGGCGAGTCCTACAAGTATTCCACAAAACTGCCCACAAATGCGTGCTGGGGGAGGCTCCTAAGCAGCTTTTCATGCACCCATCGGCCCATATACTGATAGCCACAGCGAATCCATTATGCAATTTCGAAATGCAACGTTGCAGCAAAGCTTAAGTTACGAAAAACACAGCAATTGGGGCAAAGTGTGGACGCGTCTAATTGGAAAATAATACGCAGCACTGTTAGGAAAATATATGTATATACATAGTACCAGATATGAGTATGATTCCGACGGCCTGGAAAAGCAGATAAGGCTGTAAGGTAGCAATTCGGTCCATGGCCTTACAAATCGCATTTGATTCAATTGAAGCTGAAATTATTGATTGAATGCAAGTGGCAAAGCATTTTCCTGCTGTTGCTGCCTTCGTCAAAATTTCTCGTTTGCACATGAGCTCAGCTGAAAATTGCAACTCGGAACACG